CACAGCGCGGAACTGGTGGAACACAGCGCGGAACTGGTGGAACACAGTAGCTCAGGCAGCATCACAGGAGCAGAAAAGTTGACGTTGCGGGTCAAGACCCTTCTGTAAGTTATCCTCCTCCCTCTCGAAAGACCTCAGTGGATCTCTCTCCCACTACAAACCCTCTGGTAATCTCTTCGGCCCTGAAACTGCTCAACCACATACTGAAGCAAACCAGGTACTACAGCCACATTGCCTTTTCTCAGTACCTGCCTACAGAACCGGATTATCTCCAACGGACTCCAGTCTACATTCAGACCATCCCAATTTGGCCCTGACTGCGACAACCTCTACATATACAACATCCAGATCCTCCAAAAATGGTTTTCTCTGCAGCTCCTCACGCACATGCTCTCAGAAATGCGCCAGCATCCCATTTCTGAAGAAGGGTCCCGACCCAAAACATCAATTTTCCTGCTCCTCTGACGCTGCCTACCCAGCCGTGTTCCTCCAGCTCCACGCTGTGTTATCTCCACCACCACCATCCGTCTCCTATCATGGACGCAGTGTATCCAAATGGATAGTTATCCCTGTATTCCACATGATCTACCCTTGGTAAACAGTCTACCATGCAGAACCTTGTCGAATGCCTTACTGAATCCACGTTGATCACATCCGCCACTCTCCTTCATCCATCCTTTTCGTTACTTCTTCAAAACACTCAATCAAGTTAGTGAGTCACAATTTCCCATGCGCAAAGCCGTGTTCACTGTCCCTAATCAGTTCTGAGGAAGGGTCACCGGACCCGAAACGTTAACTCTGTTTTCTCCTCCACAGATGCTGCCAGACCTGCTGAGCTTTTCCAGCAACTTTGTTTTTGTTCCTGATTTACAGCATCCGCAGTTCTTTTGGACCCTAATCAGTCCTTGCTTTTCCAAATACAAGTAAATTCTGTCCATCAGGATCCCCTCCAACAACTTGGCCACCACTGATGTCAGGGTCACCAGTCTATACTTCCCAGGCTTTACCTTACCACCTTTCTCAAATAGTGGCACCATGTTAGCCAACCTCCAGCACCTCACCTGCAGCTATCAATGATACAAATATCTCAGCAAGGGGATCAGCAATCACTTCTCTAGCTTCCCACAAAGTTCTGGAGTATATGTGATCAGGTTCCGGGGATTTATCTACCTTTATGCGTTTTAAGATGTCGCTATTTATTCACCCAAGTTCTCTCGCTTCCATATCCATCTCAACAAACATTGATGTTAAATACTCATTTAGTATCTCCCCCATGTTCTGTGGTTCCACACAAAAGCAATCCTGCTGATCTTTAAGGGTCATTATTCTCTCCCTTGTTACCCTTTTACCCTTAATGTATTTGTAAAATCCCTTTGGATTTACCTTAACCCTATTTGCCAAAGCTGTCTCATGTCCCCTTTTTGCCCTCCTGATTTCTCTCTCAAGTATATTTCTACTGCCTTCCTACCCTTCTTGGGATTCACTCGGTCCCTACTGTTTATACCTGACATATGCTTTCTTCTTTTTCTTGACCAAAACCTCAATTTCTCTAGTCATCCAGCATTCCCAACAACCGCTAGACTTGCCTTTCACTCTAACAGGAATATACTGTCTCTGGACTCTCCCAATCACTTTTTCAAAGTTCTTGCATAATACCATCAAAATTGGCCTTCTTCCAATATAGAACTTTAACTTTTAGATCCAATCCATACTTTTCCATCACTATTTTGAAACTAATAGAATTATGGTCATTGGCCTCAAAGTGCTCTCCCACTGACAGCTCGGTCTCCTGCCCTGCCTTTCCCAAGAGTAGGTCAGGTTTTATTCCTTCTGTAGTAGGTACATCGACATGCTGACTCAGAAAATTTTCTTGGACATACTTAACAAATTCCTCTCCATCCAAGCCTTCAACCCTATGGCAATCCCAGTCTATGCTGGAAAGTTAAAATCCCCTACTATTACCACCCTGTTATTCTTAGAGATGACCAAGATCTCCTTTCAAATTTGCTTCTCAATTTCCCGCTGACTATTGGGGGGTTCTATAGTACAATCCCAATAAAGTGATCATCCCTTTCTTATTTCTCAGTTCCACCCAATGACTTCGACTTCACTGGACGTACTCCCAGGAATATCCTCCCTAAGTACAGCCATAAACACTATCCCTAATGAAAAATGCCACTCCGCCTACTCTTCTGCCGCCTTTTCTGTCCTTCCTATGGCATCTACACCCTGGAACATTTAGCTGCCAACCCTGACCATTCTTGAGCCATATCACTGTAATTGCTATGATATCCTAGTCCCGTTTCCCAACTGTGCCCTGAGTTCATCTGCCTTACCTGTTAGGCCTCTTGCATCGAAATAAATGCAGTTTAATTTATCAGTCCTATCTCGTTCTCTGCTTTGTTCCTGCCTGCCTTGACTATTTGACTTGCTCCTTTTCCCAACTGCACCAGTCACAGACTGATTTTTTCCCTCACTATCTCCTTTGGTCCCCCCAACTTACTAGTTTAAATCCTCCCCACAAGTATATTAGTCCCCTTCCAATTCAGGCGCAAACTGTCCTTCTTATACAGGTCACTTTTATCCCAGGAGAGACTTCAATGATCCAAAAAAAGGGAAGTCTTCTCCTCTGCACCAGCTCCTCAGCCACACATTCACCTGCTCTATCCTCCTGTTCCCACTTCACTAGCTTGTGGCACTGGTAGTAATCCAGATATTACTACCCTTGAAGACCTAGTTTAAAAAGTACTTTTTAAACTCCTACCTAATTTCCTATATTCTCTCCTCAGAAACTCATCCATTTTTCTTCCTGTGTCGTTAGGTCCAATGTGTACAATGACCTTCTGCTGTTCCCTCTCCCTTTTGAGAATATTCTGCACCCTCTTCGAGATATCCTTGATCCTGGCACTAGAGAAGCAACACACCATTCTGATGTCTCGTTGTCGGCCGCCGAAACATCTGCCTGTGCCTCTGACTAGAGAGTCCCCTATCACAATTGATCACTTGTAACCTGACCTACCCCTCATGACAGCAGAGTCAGTCTTGGTAACAGAAAGCTAGCTGCCAGTACTATATTCCCCTGAGAGTCCATTAACCCCTATATTTTCCATAACAGCATACTTTTTGAGATGGATACAGCCACAGGAGAGTCTTGCACTACCTGCCTACCCCTCCTACCTTTCCTGGAAGTCAACCATCTACCTGACTATATGTATGGTTTTTCTATCTTCCCAGTCTAAGCTTCCAAACCCATAACACTTTGTAGCATTTAGACATCATTGCACCTTAGTAACAATAAAGTCTTCATTCCAAAAGGCAAAGGCAATCTCTTTGCTATTACAACATCTAGACTCAAGATTTCCAATGATTTGCTAGGCAGGTTACCAATGTTCACCTTATTCAACATTTTGCTCATTCAAAGCTCTGTTTTCTTACTTCATGTTTTACATGGTTCAGATCCTTTCAGTGACAGACTGGCTTCCTGTTCCCCATAGCTTCAAATTTAAAAATTCTCATCCTCAGGTTAGACTCCTTCCTCTTTCTAAATTCTCTTTCATATTCATAGTCAATTGCTGTAGCCTGTCTCATATGCTTGCTCCCTTTGTCCCACCTTGATGCTTTTGTTTCCAGCTTCCCAGGTTTCCTCAAAACCTAGAATTTCCTTCCTAAATCTTTCCTCACTACTCAACTCCCTCCTGTAAAAACATTTTTATAATTATCCTTCATGATCACTCCTAGCATATAAAAGCAATTTGATTTTATTCTTGTTGCAACTGGCAAACATCACTCTGTAGAGATTGTGTACATCGTGTAGAATTATGATTGTGTAAAAATATACAATTGGGTCAGCATACTAAATTCAATATTTTGGTATTTCATCACTCTTGCTAGTTAAAACAAGTTATGTTAAGTTTATTGTTGACTTGTGCACAAGTTTTTAACCAATTAGCTAAAAGTATTTGACACTTACATATATTAAAAATATGGCAAGATTAATAGTGATGTGTACCATATTTAAGGAAAATAGTTCTCTGTAATTAGAAAACACACATTTCAACTACCTTCGCTGTATGACATCTTTCATGAAGATTACAAAATCCTTTCTTGACCACTACTCAGTCTGCCTGAAGTCAAAGTCATCAGAAGCTTTACGTATTTCAGCACTGAGACTAAATAAAATTCTTTAATGAATTCAACAATTTTCAACAGGATCCCCTTACTGATTTGGTATTAGAAACGGCAACTATTGATTACAAAAATTTTACTTTCTTATAACAACCATTAGGAACACCAGATATTCTGCCCTCACTTTTGACTCGGCTTTAAAAATAAATTCCAAATAGACCACTGTAATTTAGTCTGGTAGATCAAATTAAAAGTTGCTCAAGTAAACACAGTTGTACAAATATGTTGAAATTAAGCCTCTCGCACCATATGTTTGTTCATTTTCATTTCGTTCTTTTTTTCTAATACATTACATTATTCAAACAAAAAGCAATGTTTACAGTTTATTCCTAGCTTAAGCTCTGGTTGCAGTATTGAATTAAAGTTGGAGAATCCAAATTCAAAGATATTAAGTGTGAAGGTAAATGTACCATATTTACGTTAGTGGAAGTGAAGCGAATTCTTTTTTCCTTCTATTACTCACAGTCTTAAGGCAACTTACAAATACTTGGCTTTCAAATCTTGTAGGGAAAAAAATATTCAGTATACAAATTGCACTTGAATCATAAAACATTCAGAGCTATGGGAAATATTACTGCAGTTCACAGTCTGATAGTGCGCATTAATTGTGGCATTTATACATGCATGAAGGTTTCTGAATTGCAAACGACATTAACAGCAACAAAATCCCCACTTTCAACTCATACGCTACAACTTATGATGCCACAGTACTTGCTATCCTACATTATCAATCAAAAAGAACTAGTTTTCAATATTCTCTTTAAATTTCCCATTTGTACAATGTCTTGCACTACATAAAATTCAATGACATATTTGGCAAGTAAAAATATTTATGTTTTCATTCATGGTTCATGTTTTGCTGGGAAGCAAATTAAGAGCTCTGGAGGGAAATATGAGATCTCATATAAGACTTGTACTGCTTTAAACTTCATATGTGGATACATATTTCAGAATAAATAAATTCAGTGCATTCTTCATACCTTGGAATATTAGCTAAATAGGAGATAAGTCGCCTAAGATCTTCTTGTCTTATTCTGTCATGGTTGCTACGTGCTGGAAATGTCAAGACAGGACCTCCACGCTTATCTCGCCCACCTAAGAAAAAAATCCAAGGACAAATAAAGACAAGCAAGTAATGAAAAGTCTTCTCTGAAAAACGTAATGAGTTTCCTTATTAGGTTACATGGAAGTAAATTGGTCTCTAAAATACACGATACATACATAGGGCACAAGAGAATAGTAAATAATAGTCATATTCAGCATAATTTTGTTGTGGTAATGTCATTGGACTAGTAATACAGAATCCCAAGCCAATGTTCTGGGTATGAGGGTTCAAATCCCACCACAACAGATGGTAAAATTTATAAAATTACGTTTTAAGATAATAAATAGTGACCTTGTAACCAACGTCCATTGTTGTAAGATCATACCTGGTTTAGTAATATCTCTTAGGGAAGGTAATCTGCCGTTCTAACCTGGTCTGGTTTAGACGTGACTCCAGACTCTCAGCAATGCAGTTGACTCTTAACTGACCTTTGTACAACTCAAGATGGCATAAATGCTGGCCGAGCCAACAATGCCTACGTTGCATAAATAAATTAATAGAAGTAAAGTCTATAACTTTAACAGCCATGTCATCCTGACATCCATGTGCATGAAGTTTCCAAGCAACTGTTTGTCCACACAGTCTAAAGGGACCGTTAAATGGAAATTCCTGTTGCCTCCTCCAAACTAAGTATCTGATTCTGTGTAGATGTCACTCATCTCAAAACTGCTGTGAAGGTCAACCACATGCCAATCTTAAAAAGGGATGCTCCAACATTCCATAGCATCAAACGTGCCTCATATGAAAATTGCTCATCTTGTGTGTGTGTATTCAGTCTCACGATGTGTTAGCTTCCAAATCCTCAAGTATACGGGTACAAACTCAGTCAAGCCAAACTGAGAAGAGTCAGTTAAGTAAGAAACTAAACAGTTTAAATAGGGATGACATTTCTCCAGGATTGAGAAACCATAAGGAAGGGCCTTTCTAAACAGTAGAACTGTCGTAGAATTTTGCTTTGATGTGATACAATATCTGACTTTGTCTAATTTTAGTAGTCAATTTTATGTTATTGCAAATGTTACCTTTAGACATAATTTTGTTTGATCAAAATAGATCAATTTAATTGGTTTCTGTGGGGTATAAAGCTATTAAGCTGTTTATTAAGATACAGGTGTGATTACTTGAACCTGCATACATCATAGAATCATACAATCCCTACAAGCGCCGATAGGGGCCGCTCAGCCCATCAAGCCTAAACCGACCCTCTAAATGGCATCCCATCCTATCCTTGTAACCCTACAACACCACATTAACCATGGATAATCCTCCCAGACCGCACATGCTTGGACACTATTGGGCAATTTAGCATGGCCAATCCACCTAATTTGTACATTTTTGGACCGTCGGAGGAAACTGGAGCACCCACTAGAAACCCATGCAGACATGGGGAGAACTTGCAAACCCCACACAGTCACCTGAGGCTGGAATCCATAAATGTTAGGTAAATCAAATCAGTAACAACACCATACAGGAGAAATTCCTCGAGTGTGTACAGAATGGTTTACTGGATCAATACTTTGAGGAACCAACTAGAGAACAGGCCACCCTAGACTTAGGTATGTTGTAATCAGAAAGAAATAACTGGCAATTCACTGAGGGACCCTTTTGGGGAAGAGTGACCATAATACGATAGTCTCTATCTTAATAAAGAATTCTAACAAGCTGATTCTGGGAATAGTTTCTTTAATTTAGATTCAGGAATCTGATGGTATGACACGCGCAAGTTGGCTATGATAACTTGCAGCACATTACTTGCTTTACAGGTGGCATGGTGGCTCAATTGTTAGCGCTGTTGCCTCACATTGCCAGGGACCTGGGTTCAATTCTACCCACGGAGGACTGTCTGTGTGGATTTCTGCCTGGTGTTCTGGTTTCCATCCACAGTCCAAAGATGTGCAGGTTCGGTGGAATGGCCATGCTAAATTGCCCATAGTGACCAGTGATGTGTAGATTAGGTGGGCTAGCCATGGAAAATGTACAGCTGTAGAGATAGAGTAGGAAGGTGGGTTTTGGGTGGAATATTCTTCAGTGGGTCAGTGCAGACTCAATGGGCCGAATGGCCTGCTTCCACACTACAGGGACTCTAGGATTCTACAAAGGTATGATGGTGGATAGGCAATGGAAAACAATTAAAGAGTGTGAGGACGAACGACAACAATTGTTTTTCTGGCACAAAAAGAAAACAGGAAAAGGCGGCCCAACCATTGCTAACAGGGAAATGAGGATCCAAACTGACCAAAAAAGAAAGCTGCAGACCTAAGGATAGGGAGCAGTTCAGATTTCAGCAAAGGAGGGAAAATGGATTGATTAAGAGGCAGAAAATAGAGTATGAGAATAAGCTTGCCGGAATATACAGATGGATTGTAAAGCTTCGCTAAGTATGCAACAAGAAAAAGATTAGTGAAGATAAATATAGGTCTCTCTAAGTTACAAACAGGCAAATTTATAATGAGCAACAAAGCGATAGCAGACTAATTAAATATAGATTTTGGTTCTGTCTTTAGATTTGAGGATTAGCAACTAGTGTCTCAAAAACATTAGAGGGGGGGACACAAAGCCTAGTGAGGGAGAGAAAGGAAAGAATGGTTTTGAGAACATTGATAGGACTAAAGGTCGATAAATCCGTAGGGCCAGATAAACTACATCCCAGAGAACTTAAGCAAGTGGCCCTAGAAACAGTGGATGCATTGGTCGTCATCTTCCAAAATTCTATAGGCTTTGGAAGAGTTCCCTTGGATTGCTGTATAGCTTTTAAAAAAAAAGCAGCGAGAAACAGGCAATGACAGACTTTGGTACTGGGGAAATACTAGAATCCATTGTGAAAGATTTAGTAACACAGTGCTTGGAAAACAGTGGCAGGAACAAACAGACACAACATGGATTTACAAAACGGAAATCATGCTTGACAAGTCTATTGGACGTTTGAGTTTGTAACTAGTAGAGCTGATAACGTAGAGCCAGCGCATGTGGTTTACTTGTACGTTCAGAAGGCATTTAATCCCACATAAGAGATTAACATGTAAAATTAAAGCACGTGAGATTGGGGGTAATGAAATGACATGAACTGTTTGGTAGACAGGAAACAAATTTGAGGAATAAATTATTCTTTTTCTAAGTGGCAGGCATGTCTGGTGGGAAATCAGAGATCAGTGCTTGGACCTCAGCAGTTATTCACAATATGCTTTAATGATTTAAATGAGGAAACAAAGTTTAATAACTCCAAGTCTGCAGATGATACAAAGTGTCAATGTATGGGAGGATGTACCGTGAGGATGATGCAGAGATGGTCTAGTGTGAATTGGACAAGTTGAGTGCATGGGCAAATACATGGCAGGTGAAGTATAATCTGTGTAATCTGTAATCTGTTTGTGAGGAAGGTAGATTATTACCTGAAAGGTGACAGATTGGGAAACAGGGAAGTGAAATGAGACCTGGATGTCCTGGTGAAACAGTTGCTGAAAGTAAGCATGCAGGTGTTAGCAGGCAGTGAAGAAGGCAAATGGCATGTTGGATTTCATAGCGAGAGGATTCAAGTAGAACAGCAAGGACACTTGGCTGAAATTTAAAGGGCTTTGGTGAGACCACACCTGCAACATTATGTGTAGTTTTGGTTTCTTCATCTGAAGGAGGATAGAAACGTAGAACGTAAGTGCAGGAGTAAGCCATTCAGCCCTTCCAACCTGTACCACCATTCAATAAAGTCTTGGCTGATCACTCAATCTCAGTACCCCATTTCCACCCTCTCCCCATACACCTTCGATCCCTTTTGGTGCAAGAGCCATGTGTTGAATATATCTAACAAACTGGACCCAACAGCTTCCTGTGGGAGAGAATTCCACAGGTTCACAACTCTGAATGAAGAAATTCTTCCTCATCTTCGTCCTGAATGGCTTACCCTTTATTGGATGCTCTGGCGATGGAAGAAGCTCAACAAAGTTTTACTAGGCTAATTCCCAGAATGGCTGGACTGATGTATAGAGAGACTGGATTGGTCAGGACTATGTTCACTGGAGTTTAGAAGAATGAGAAGGGTGGGACCTCATAGAAGCCTACTGTTTCACGTCTAAACAGGGTAAACACAGAAAGGATATTAAAGTCATACAGATCTACAGTACAGAAAAATGGCCCATCAGTCCAGGCCAGTCAAAAACAACCACCTAATCCCATTTTCCAGTACTTGGCCCTGTAGGCTTTGGCATCGCAAGTGCACATCTAACTATTTGTTAAATGTTAGGAGGGTTTCTGTCTCTACCACACTTACAGGTACAAACTTCCAGGTTCACAGCATCCTCTGGGTCAAAAAGATTTTCCTTCACATCTCCTCCAAACCTTCTGCCCCTTACTTAAATCTATGTTTAAAAAATAGCTTGAACTGTTATTGTTAGTCATTACTTTTCTACTAAAGTTGAACTGGTATGGACACAAAGTGAGAAGGCCAGGAAAGAGTGACAAAAGGTTACAACACCTTTCCCATTATCTTTGGAATGCTTTAGGTAATCAGTTAGGCCAGTTGCCAAGGTTGCTACAGTGTGATACAGAATGACAACAAGGATACAGGTTTAATCCCCATACTGGCTGTGATAGATCATGCATTCACCTCCTCATCTGGGCCCACACTTGCAAAGCGGTGACCTTCAAATGATATATAACCAAACTCTTTCTCTTTCTTTAAAGGAGCAATCCATGGTATTTATGGATTACGGCAAATTATATTTAATTCCCTTAGGTAATTAAAAGCACTATACAGTGCAATGTCATAGTAAAGGATGTCTTTCACAGTCTAAGAGACGATGCATTTCTTGAGTATAAACTTCACTTTTCACTCTCGTGTATCTGAACTAGGTGCATCTAATGCTAATATTATTAGTAAGTGCAAAAAAAATTTATCCACCAACTTCTTATGGACTGGAAATTTGTGTTATTGGGATTATTTCTGCAAACATTTTCTAACAAGCGTATAATATTCACAGTTTTCTAGTCTTCTAACCCT